GCGCTTCAGCGGCAACTTATTCGTCGCTTACACATCTTCATCGTCTTGCACGTCCTGCAAGTAAAAATCGGCGGCCGAAATGATTCAAAACACCATTCCAGAATTCGCCAGTTTTGCACGTGGACTCCGTCGGAAAAAAGGGTGTTGCTCAGCACATATAGCGTTGGCAGGCGATGTGTCCGTTCCGCAAGTAGACGCCGCCCTGAATTTGTTTACAAGACACATACATTCCGGAGAAACCAATCTTTGTTACAAACTTTATCGGTGCGACTGGCAGGCAAGCGAAGCCAAGTCAGCTGAGGTGGGGATGACTGTGAAGGCGCGTTCGTCGTGCACGGGCCGTGCCTGCACCGAATCTCGCGCGGGAGCATCATAGCCTCGGAGCCCTGCTCGCGGAGGAAAGCGGCCGCGTGACATGCTGCTGCGAGGGGCAGCACGGTGTCGCTCGAGGTTGTTTCAAATGGGTTATAGCGCACGTTCGTGATGTCGTCGCAAGCGTTCTCCTGCGATTTTTTTGCGTGTAAGCAAGGATTTGGATGTCTAACGATCGAACTTTGTACGGCAGCAGGTCAAAACCTTCGGTTTCATGGACATGGCCGGGGCGCCCTTCGCGCATGCGACTTCCGCGGTCGCCTTGACCCCCTCGGCGACCACACGGCTGTATGCAACTTCAGGCGTGCTCGCATCTCGAACCCTTCCTCTTGAGCGGGCAGTGGCGCGGGTGTGCCAAGAAGCCGGGGCGCGGGTCGCCCGCAACGCTTGCCTGGGCGACATGAACATCGATGTTCCGGTCTCCTATACATGACCGACCATGAGGCATGGTCAGAACGTGAAACACGACACAACTAAGCAAAAAGCGTTTGTACAACTGCACAAGAATAACTACGACTACAACGTCAAGCCACTCACACTCACAGTTGTCCAACACAAGCGTTCACATTTCACACGCTCCAGCGGCTTGGCACACGCTGGCGACGGCAATTTCACGAGCACGATTGGTGACGGCGGAGGTGCAGAACAGCGTCGACAAACTCAACGTTCGCCCCGATCTGGCTCGAGAACGCCACCTTTCTCGCAAGGCTTGGTGCGCTGAGCAATGAAGGAGAGCATGTGCAAGAGTGTCTGAGTGACCAGCACAAAACCGACAAGGTCTGGCTGCAATGCTTTGATGGCGAGCGCTTCGCCCATCACAGAAGGGGTGATGCCCACAACGAGCTAACCCCCCAGTAGCGAACATGTGCAGGAGACACGTGCCGGCCATAAACCACTGGGTGCAAGCCGGAATGCGGCGGCCACTGTGCATAATCGTGCAGAGTTTCAATGCCGCGGACTGCAGCGGAGTACCACGCATTGGCATGCGAAACTAACACGGTACGCATGAACCAGCGTCGAACCACTGATTGGCTAGCACCACGTCCTGCGCTCCAAGTTTCTGGATCAGAAACACCGAGCGGAATCAGTTCATTTAGGAGACTATGAACCCAAGAACCGGGACATTCAGAGGCAATACGCGCAACCTCTGCGGCTAAACATCTGCCTGGGATGGAGAGTAGGCGTGCCCATAACCCCGCAGCACTAAGTAAGTGGGACAAATGGGCATCAAACCAACCAAGCTGAGCCTGAACGGCCGCAGTTGGGGCACCACGCGGCCACATCAGTAAGCGGCGTCCCCATTGGAATAAACGAGTGTTCACACGCTGTGGCTGACGGTCCTCGGCAACAAATTCCAACCCGAAGAAAACGGAAGGGCGCACATACGCATTGAAGACCTGATTACAAAAACTCAGCGGCAAATCTTGGGAGTTCGATTGTGTCCACGACATGCAAGCAACAACTCTCTGCTCACCGCGGGATAACACATGGTCGACATGATCACTCCAACGCTGACGATCATGAAGCACAACCCCTAAATATGTATGATTACGAACAATTGACAAGGGCTGCTGACCGATCTGGAAATGCAACGAAGTAAGATTAGGGGCCTCCGGCCAAAACACATCACTGCACTGAAGTTGTCGCGAATGGGCTGTCCTTGCGGCATACGCGCAACAAGCAGTTGACGCAACCATCGTCAGCCCTGGGTGCTGACGTGCACACTGGTCGAGCTGCGGCCGCGAGGCGCAAACGCCACCAGACTTACCCAGAGCTCGTGCGCGCTCGCCGCGGCCGCCTGGTGGTCGTCGCCGTTGAGGTGTGGGGCCGGTCTGGGACAACTTGCCAGGACGTGCAGCCGGCCGTGCGAGCAGCAGCGCGTGCGGCGTGGGTTGCCCGTTGGTCCGGGCTGCTCGCTGTCGCTGCGCAGCGCGCCGTCGCCGCGTCCTTGTTGGAACTCCGGCTGGCGGGGGAATGCAACGTCGCTGGAGAGGCGCCCGAGCTGCACGAGGTCTTCGCGGACGTGCGCTGGTTGGCAGCCGGCAGGCGCCTCGCCAGCAACCTGGCACGAGCGCTTCCGTAGGACCAGGTAGGCATTGACAACTTTGACTGTGGGCTGCGGGATCAAGGTGCATGGGAAAAAACCACCAGCCAAACCAAAACTACCTACGAATACTGCCTTATTAAGTCGATGGTAGGATGTGCTTATTCCCATGTTCACGTGCTCAGGAGATGACATGGGATGACTCAACACAGGGCGGGACGACTTAACGCAACCTCCTGTACGAGCACGTCAGCTGGCCGCCTCAGTGCAGCACCAATGCCTAGGAGCAAGTGTGATGCCCGAGCCGGATACGAACCGCCCCGGCCGGTTGCATAAAAAAATTATATAACAAAAATGAAATCTCGGATCTGATTGTGCAGGGCCGTCATGTCTCCACTCGACATGCAGGACAAAGCAGGCCCGCGATGTTGGAGAGCTCTTCACTGGCGGCGTTCCAGATTCGTGTCTTGCCCTGGTGCAACCGGATTCGTGTCCGGTCCTACGCAAACGCGAGAGCGTCGTATACGTCATAGAGCGTGCGGACGCGCTCAGGCGCGGCGACGATATACGTGTCGTCTAGGAAGGCGAACACGGCCTCGCCATCGTAGAGGTCACAAAGAGCTTCGAGTTGCGCCACCGCATAAAGCGCGCGCATCGCCCCGTTCGCCGCCTTGGCCCTGAGAGAATGGTGTGCGCGCGATCGGTTTCATCGTACCATGCATGTGTACGCGCTGGACGAGGTATAGAGCTGGCGCGCAAAGGGGAGGAGGGATTGGAGTTGAGGCCGTGCGTGTAGCGCACCCTAGCGCACCCAGCATAATGCCTTGATCGAAAGCGCCAACCGCGTCTATCGACAGATATCGACAGCACGGTCGCTCTTCGGTAGCGGCACGGTGAAGCCGGCTCACAGCCTCCGGCCCTGCGCAGGTACTGAGCCCGAACTGGTGCGGCGTGCGGGCCTGCTGCAGGTGTGGGGCAAAGTGCTGCGCCAGCATGCGGCCAACGAGCCGACGCAGGACGTCGCCAATCACGAGGGCGCCGGAGGGCGCACCCTGCAGCTGGCAACTCTCAAGGGCGGCGGCTCGGCACGCCCGCTGCGCGTCGGAAGGGTCACCACGGCGCGCCTGGCTCTGCTGCTGCCGCGGAGGCGGATTGGCGCAACAGGTTCGACCAGTGCCCGGCACGAATCAACTCGCACTGCCGCTCGATTTCAGCTGATGGGATGCGGGACTCCAGAAGCATACTTGGGGCGAGGCAAAAGAGTTTCCCCCACTGCCGGAGCTCGGTGCCACAGATGCGCATGGGAGCGGACTGCAGCTGACGGCAGGTAGCCGGGAGGTTGACTGCATCCAAAAAAATCGCACGGCGGTTTCTGCGGAAGCGGTGTCTAACGCTGGGTGGTAGGTGGCTGCGGGTCAAGAGTCAGGTAGCGGAGGGTCGGTTGCGGCAGAATTGGCTCCGCACCCCGTGCACGTCCTCGACGGCCACCTCCGGCACCTCGGGAGACTCTTGCTTCATGCACTCGTCTCGTCGCTCCAGCGGCCTCCGACCTCCGCAGCGAGGACAGCGAGCCGTTGAGGTCCGCCGCGGGTGAGCTCCGGGTAATGCGCGACTTTGCGTCTGCGCCCTGCTACAAGCGCGACCGGCAGGACGGGGCGGCCAGCGAGAGTGGGGCGACGGTCGTCGGCGTGAACCTGCAGTGCTGTTGTGATCTGTTGTGTGCGACAGCCACTGTTGCGGCACGACCCGACCTTCCGGACCGACCTCGCGGACTCCACGACGAATCCGTGTCGGGGCAGCAGGCCCGTGCGAGGGCAGGCGAAGTGATGCGAGGCATAGGCAGGCGTGCGAGACAGTTTCGCACCATCCCCGGCCTCCGACTCGAGGAGCTAAGGGCAGGCAGGCGTGTACGGCAGGCTGCGCGAGGCCTCTATAAAAGCTGCAGCTGTCGCCTCGGTGGTCTGCAATCCTACACGGCGCCCAGCGCTCCTGGCAGGGCGACAGACGGGCGAATTACCACACTGCTTGCCGTGTCACACGGCCGTGTCGGTTCGGCGCACTGCTACGTTTTATGAGGTGTACAACGGATGTTGGTCGGCACCGAAGGCCAGGCTCGGTCCCGGCCTGAATGGCGCGGAAATGTTTGACCACATTGATGCCTGACGTGTAGACATATACAGCTTTGACTGCTGTGCTCGTAGGTCTGCTGTGCTGCCTGGATTTGTTGCTCCGTCTGTGTCCCCTGCCGCCGGGTTTCTAGACTGTTTCTAGGTGTCTTGTGCGACGTTTGTAGTTGTTGAAACTTAAGTCGCCCTTGAGATGCCTGACGAATGATTTCTCACGCAACCCGGCTGACGATCACTTTCACTACCCAAGCTGCTCGGTTTTTATTCTTGATTCGTCTCACCCTCCTCTGCCAGAGCCGCAGGGTTTAGCAACTCGATCCTTGACGACTCTTGACGGAGCCGCAGTAACATCTTCCCACCTTCTTTTTGGTGTCACGGCTCGTGGGCCTTCTTGCAGCACTCCGTTTGGATTGTGCTACCGCGTGGTTTCACGTCGGCTCAGGCTTCGTGTCTCTGCATTAACGCTGGCTTTTTCGCCAGGATGTTGCCCGGGACAGCAGCAGCTGTGACATGGCAGCAGCATCACCCGGGCCTGCCTGCACCTGCCTCTCTGTGGCGGGGTTCTGCTGCCGCACAGCGGCGGAATTGTGCAAACGTACACTTTGGCTGAGATCGAAGGGCACATGGTTCTGGGCACTCAGCTTTCCAGGATTGTGCAACTCCCTCTTTGCAGCCAGCCTCTCCAACCTCTGCCCAGCATCCTCGTACAGACAACGTGATCGCTGCACCGCAACTTCGGCTGCCAAGTTTCCGGAATATGTTCCGTGCACGAATGCCTCTGATAGTTCCCGTGCTTCTGCTGCCAGGTGCATTTGTTCTTTCGCATAAAGCCGCTGACCTCGTTGCATTGCATCTTGGTACAGTCGATCATAGGCAGTCCCGTCATCTTCACCCTTATGCAACGAATGTGTCTTCATCCAATGTTCTTCCTCCATCTCCTGCATGCATGTGGAAGTAAACTGAAACCAAAACGAAAGGATTGCAAACAGCGCACAGCATCGCTCAGCCCTGGCGGGCTCCCTGTCGCCTGCAAGAGTCGACGGTGTTGCAGTCGTTCTGACTGGCGTTGTGCAGAAGCGTAAAGCTGCTCCCATCGCGGCTCACCGGTGGGCGCCTGCGGTGACATCCTGCAGATGTTAGACTCTTGCTTCACCCAGGAAGATTCTGTCTTGCCGCCATTTCCGCCCTTGCGCTGCTCGTACAATCGTTGACCTGCAGCCTGTGCTTCGGCTGAAGACCGCAGACAGACCTCGATGGCTGCAGCTGTCACAGATCACTTTCAGGATGCGGCAAATGCAACTGCACTCAGGATCTTGAACTCTTCAGCGTGGAACATCGTGGTCCAGTGCTGTCAAAAAGCAGTTCGGCTTTGCAGCGCCTGCGCACGCTCCTGCTCTTCTGCTTCAGCAGCCACTGCACGCTCCTGCCGAAGGTTTCAGGCTGCAACTCCCCTCAGCGGGGTAAGCAGCCCTCATTCGCGATGAAACTTGACACATCTAAAGCTCTCCAGGATTGTCCTTCAAGTCTTGCAGTCTCCGGTTGTGATGCTCATGCAAGCGATCAAAGACCTTGGAGCTTTCGACCCCAGAGTGCATTCAAACAACTCAAACCTGTCAACGAGTGTAGAACAGTAGCGGAGCTCGACGTGAAAGACCGCCCCGTGGCTCCCTGCCAACGATGCATGCTGTAAGCTTACAATGCCAGCCGCCAGCCGTTCGAAAGCCATGTTGCTGAGCCTGCGAGCACGCTGCTCGCTGCAGCCTGCGAGAGGCACTCTGGGAAATTCATGACTTTCAGCACGAAGCATGTCTGTCAATACAGGCATGCCCGATGCTGGGCATCCAGGCTTCTTCTCGCTGCGCACCGGGATCTCTGCCTGAGACACAGATTGCTCCAAGCTTCTGACCAAACCTCTGCCATGCTGCATGACTTTCAGGATGTCGCAAGTTTCGCTCCATGCCGCAGGAATCCCTTGATGCTGTCCCATGATTAGTGACCTCCGCCGTCCAAAGAACTGTGTTGGTGCTGGCCGTGGTCGCTTCTATCGGGATCCCGTGAGTGGTGTTGGCAGGCTATCCGATTGCGGAATTGATGGCCTGACCTCCCCTCCACTGATGTCCAGAGATTCTGCGATTTTAGGGAGCTGGTGTTCATCTCGCATGTGGGGGCTACCGGAACAAAACCCAGGCCCCTTATCAGGCTGGACGAACATGATTGGGGGACCACGCTAATTTCTTCGGTTGAGGACTGGAACTGGAGGAGAGGTGGTGTGACCCGAACTGTTGTCTCTTATGTTTGCAGAACTTGACAGGTCCAAGCTTGCAGTAGACAGACATCACATCAGTAATCAGAAAGATTTAGTCATCAGAGTCTCTAAGAGTCCCTGACGGGCCGGGCCTTCTTTGCTTCTTTTCGGGTGTGCGCATTCACAGGAGTCGGGCTTCTGTGAGCTGCCCGAAGCTTTGCAGCCTGCCAGTGTCTCACCATACAACGACGGCAGCGACAGATCTTGCTAGTGACCTGCTGGGCTTTGCCGCTTCGCTGGCTCTGAGCACGCCGAGGTGACGTTGACGTAGTCGGGCTGGCACTCCTGCTGCGAGCCTTCTGTGACTCGGCCTGAAGATCAAGCTTCTGTGGTACTAGTATGTCGCAAGACGTCTCAAGGAAGCATGCTTCAGGAAATGCCTCTCTTCGAGGGCGCTGCACCAGGCGCAGCGACACGCTGGGGCTAAGGCTTCGGCTTTCCTGCAGCTGCAGCTTTTACAGCTGAAACCGCATCAGATCCTGCAGATTCAGCTCCTGCTTTTCTCTGGATTGCTTGCCAGCAATTTGTGATCTATTCGGGCTCGGAGTTCTGCTGCTAGCCAAAGCACCAGTTGCCTGTGCAAGATCACGTCTGCATCTGTTCCACGGTATTCCGTGCCAAACGGCACACCTCAGAACACTTGCCTGCTTTGCTTTGACACCCTGCTTGCTGAGTGGACTGCAGCTGAGCACAGCCTGCGGACAAGCAAAGCAGCAAAGCAGCGAAGCAGCAAAGCAAGACAGCCCGTCAGATGCAGACGCTCACAGCAAAATCACACAGCCAGGTGCCTGCTTTCCTTCCCCTGTTTGAGGGTGCTTTGTGCTTCGCGAGGATCTGCTGGGGCTGGGACTTCGGCTGTTGCCGTCTTGCTCCAGCTTCGATCCTTCGTTGGCCTGCGCAAGGAACTCAAGAAGCCGCTGGACTCTATTGTTTCTTCACGTTCATCTCTTTCTCCCTCAAGGAATAGAATAGCTTCGCCCTCCTGTGCTTGGCAAATCACTGGCACGATGCTGGAATGTATGGCCAAACTCTGTAATCACTCCATGGATAACTGCCAGCCGCCAGCGTTTTGATTCTCGTGTCATTTCCACCGGCCCTGATGGAAAGGCTCTGAGCATCCTACGTGGGATTGTGGCCATCGACTGCCGTCCGAGGCTACTGTTCTACACCAAACACTATCGGGCCTGGCTCAGGTCGATCCTGTCCGCTTTCTCAATCCTCGCTCTGGATTCGCAATCCTTCTCCTCTTTCCTGCAAAGCTCATTAAAATCCATGGGACAAACCTTGGTACGAGTATCTGCTCTTGAGGCACGAACGAACGCTGACATTCACTGCAACGCAACACACGCCGATTCGGTGCTCTGAAATCATACCGACGTTTTGTCGAGCTGACCAGGCGGCCTTGCCCCACATCCTCTGCCCTTGAAGCCCTCCCATCACTTGCGGGGAAATTACACATCCTCGCCTTACTCTTGCCCTGAAGCCTGCAGATTTGGACGGCACGGCAGACATGACAGTTTCGACTCAAAACAAGGTGAACACATGTGACCACCCCACCTCGGGGATTTCGACTTGGGCCTGTTGGCGATGGCACTTACGCTGAGCATCTCCGAACCTGATGCACCATGCAAAGTGCATCATACTCACGGATAGTTTTGAACAGTAGTGCCAGGCAACGCTGCACAAGGAGCCGGTCCCTCTCAGCGCGGAGGCTGAGTAGATCGTTGCCCTTGCGCATGACAGCACCGGCACCCTTCTCGACTCGGCGCGCAGCCTGGACCACCTGTGCCGGGTGCCCTTTTTTCTGGGGTTCTAGTTTCGGATCGGCTGCCGGGGGTTTCTGATCAGTGGGATAGTTTCGGCGCCGCGGCAGTCGGTTTGGGGAGGGTTTTGTTTGGGCTTTCGTGTGGATTCCTGCTGGATTCGGGCTTTCGTGGGGAGGGTTTCGTGCTTTCGCGCGGAGGATCCGAGAGCCCATCAGCCTGCCGCGGCGGCTGCGTGCCAAATCGCATCGGGGGATGGAATGCCCCGTCTCCGCAGCCTTATTTCAACTGGACTGCCGCCATGCTGCTGCCATTCGGCCATGAGCATAAGCCTGGGACCGGACCGGTGCTCGGCTTCGGAGGTGCGCTTTGCAAACATGCGAGCTCGCGTTTTAGCAAGAAGACCTGTCCGAGCATTGGGTACAGGATGATACAGGTCAAGATGGGGAAAGGTCGGACTTTGACCTCCAACAAATCAACCTATGATGATCTGGCCTCGTTTCGCAAGGAGAACAGCTCCTGGTCCTCCGGAAGCCACGTTTTCACTTCCTGCACGGGCCACCGTCCACTGCATGCTGCTGCACCACGGACAACCAGCCAAACTAGCTATGCAAGTAAATGCCACAAGGAGGGATCTTTGCACATGCCCAGGCAGGCGGGCTTAGGACATCTGCCTGTGAGAACCTGATCCATCTGCACAGTCAAGCTGGCTTTGCCCTTGCTTGCTCTTGACTCTTGTCGACAGACGGAAGGGACGTTGATGGGGATTTCACTGCCGGCCTCAGCAGCGGTCTGAGAGACTGCCTTCGCGCCCACCTGCGGGAAGGATTGCTCGCAGGCAGCTTTCTGAGAGGAGTCATACTTCAATGACCAAACAGGCACGCTGCGAAGCCTGTCGCGCAAGCTGTCAGTGTCGTTGTTCTCTCATCTTCACATTATGCAAACAATGGCCGCGCTTGTGGTGCGAAGGATCAAAGGTGAATCCCGAGCTGCCCAAATCTCATCCGGTTTTTCCAAGGAATCTGTGATTCTCCAGAAACGAATACTATATACGCTGGTCGCGGCTGCGAGACGTCGGATGCGTACGTGGCGCCCACGGAAAAACCGCAGTGAGCGCTTCCTGTGTCCGGGACGAAGCCCGCACCCATGTGGAGAGCGAGAGGGGGATGCCATGCGGCTGGTAGGAAGGAGTGGCCGGGAGTTCAAAATGAGAAAGGATTTTCGTATGCTCATTTTTGTACTCGATCGAATCTTATCCATTAACAGGTTAGAAGGCCATGTACGAACATGCAACGATATATCTTCGAATGCTTTAAACACGACACGTTCCAATCCGTAGTCATAGTCGTTCGTTGCTGAGCGACATGTTGTTCATCGCCTGAGGACATCTGACTAAAAGGATGTTAGTATTCTAAATTTTAAATGAAAACTAACAGTACATCAAAAACGCTGCATACCCATGTCGAGAACATTGAAAGTACCAACATTTTGCAATACCTCACAAGGTCTTTCCGGGTGGGAAGCAAGACAAGACAAAGGCAGGTCCTATTGCCGTTTCCTTTTGCTTGTGCTGCGTGCTGCTACGTGGTAACAGTGTGACCTTCCTTCTTTCTTGCCCTGCTTGCCCAATTCCTTCCACTGTGCATAAAGTTGAGGACTTGCATTCCCAGTCGGCTGCTTCCGGCAAGAGACATGGAAGATCGGCGAAGGAATCATCTCTGTATCGCAAACTGGTGGCTGACGTTGATTTTTGAAGCCCCTTTTGCGCAAACTCGTCATCCCAGTCTTGGAAATGCTCCTAAATAGAAGGACACAAAAGGATATGCAGCAGGTGCTTTGTGGCATCGGAAACGAGCTCGTGCCAGCTGCCGTCATCGCACACTCTCTGAAGCTGTTTGCTTTCTCAGAAAGTCATGTGCGCAACTCTTTGGACCGAAGCTCTGATTGTACCAGTCTTGTCATCTTCGTGTATTCCGCGAGGGTGAAGCTGCCTTGTTTGAAGGGTTAACTTCGTCTTCGCTCTGTCTCCGTCCCTGGCCCACTCTCTCTGTGCCCCCTTGCAGGTTCTCGGGCGCTGTGGCTTTAATTCATGTGGCCAATGGACTGCATCTGCATGGCCGGGTCGGAGGAGGTCTGTGTCAATGCGAGGTCTTCGACAAGCGACGTACGACATGTCATGACAAAAGCACCGGGAGGCTTGCCTTCGCCTGGTAAAGCCGCTCCCATGGTGCCGGGGGTGCCGGGGCCGACGCTTTGGCTTTCGGCTCGCCTCAGGCAGGCCGGGCCGTGTCTACGCCTCAGAATCAAGCTCCGTGCCGTGCCTGTCTCCAGCTTGTCTGGGGCGTCCGGTCTCCGCGCCAGCGTGGCCATACTCGGCTCATCAGGCTTTACCTATCACGTCTCCCGTTGCCGCTAACAGAGTTAGGCTACAGCAAGCCTCGGCTAGGCCTTGCCCAGCTTGAGAAGAACTTACACCAAACTGGGCCCAAGGACAGCTCAATATGGACCACCATGCTATACTATACCCTGCAACACATTACCATCCAGAACATTACATAATCTATTTATGCTTCTGGACGGTGGTGTAACTCCCCGAATGGGTAACTCAAGCTTGTTCATTCTATGAATCCGCCGAGGCCGCAGGCCCAGCGTATTGGGGGTTAATTCAGGTACCCTCCACCTAATCCTCCTCGCTGTGGTCCGAGAGTTTGGAGACACCTGTTTCTTCTGCCCTCCCCCAACGGCCCCCTTGCTGTTTTCGCCATTTTGAGTACTGAGTGTGTCTTGGTCTCCTTATCATCGATTATCTATAACGCTCAAGGGTGCTAGCTTTGGCTGAACTTGTTCGAACAAGTGTTTGCCGTGTTATCATACGACGCGCCGTCATCGGCTGGTGGTGTAAAAGGGAACGCTCAAGGGTGCTAGCTTTGGCTGAACTTGTTCGAACAAGTGTTTGCCGTGTTATCATACGACGCGCCGTCATCGGCTGGTGGTGTAAAAGGGAGTGCCTGCACTAGCTGGCGAAATCTCGCGGTTCTTCTTCCAATGAAAGAGCTGTGATACGGGGGTACAACGTCCCTGTAAAGGGAGATCCTCTATGTGAAACGGGGGTGGACATCTGAGTAACTCGCCTGGCCCTCCACACCTGTGCGAAATGCGGGCTGACGTCGGCTCTTCGTGTGAGAACTCAAGTTATGACAGAGGAAGTTGCAAGGGCCTTCAGGAAGCTGTTTCGTAGACGTGAAGCTCTTTTCTTAATTGGGACGCCTCTTGAAGCAGGGGAGTAGCGTTGAGCACACGGCAGTTCTGATTTCTGAGAAGCAAAAGGACGGGAGAGACGGAGCGGGGCCTCCACCTCGGTTGAGAAGTTCCACCTGCCACACGCGCAACGTGTCAACAAAAAGACATCTGCGATCAGTTGCGGAGTTGCGGACGTGCTTCGCTTCGCGCGGCGCTTCGCGCCTGCCAGGGCCTGGCCCGGCCGGCGGCCCCGCCGGGCCGGGTGGTCGCGGCGCAGGCTCGGCGTTGCCAACTCCGACGTGCCGGTGGCTTCTTGGAGCGGTTTCGAGGAAGGCGCTCGCAATGGCGCTGGGCTTCGCCATCTTCTCCCGCTTTGCCTCGTTCGTTCGCACTCTGGCAATTAAAGACTATACCTTCCTGCAGCGCCTGCTTCTGTGCAGCACGCGCTTCCAGGCTATTGCCGCGCTTCTGCACTTTTTCGCTGGCATTGCTCCGTGGCTTTCTTGTGGGCTGCCCAGTGCTGGTTGGTGGCTCTGGATTCGCATCCTGACGAGCAACAGATGGTCTGAACACTACAGTACAGGACTGGCAGCTGCATTGGTCCTGTGCTTGCGCGGCCAGCGTTTTTGAAGCAGGAGAACAGCCTCTGTCTGCCTCCTCCCTTCTGTGCTCCTCTGTCTTACTTGCCTCATGCTCTGGCAGTGCTCGATTTTGGGCTGCCTCCTCAATTCCGCGCGCTTCTGTCGACGACGGCTCTGACAACTGCTCGACCAGGTTCTCGGCATTTACGGCAGTGCCTGCTGCACGTCCTGTGTCCTGATGCTCTTTCTGGTTCTCATCAACATCACGGCGCAAGGCTTCCTCTTGGTCTGTGGCTTCTTCCCGTCCGCGCTCCTCTGTCCCCGACTGCAGGCTACTTGACTTCCGCTTTGCCTCATGCTCCTCCGTTCCGCGCGCTTCTGTCGACGACGGAAAACTAGCCGACATCCGCTGTGCCCCGTGCTCTGACAACTCCTCGACCGGGTTCTCGGCATTTGGGGCAGTGCCTGCTGCACGTCCTGTGTCTTGAGACTCTTGCTGATTCTCATCAACATCCCTGCGCAAGGCTTCCTCTTGGGCTGCGGCTTCTTCCCTTCCGCGCTCCTCTGTCCCCGACTGCAGGCTACTTGACTTCCGCTTTGCCTCATGCTCCGGCAATGCCTCATTTCGAGCTGCCTCCTCCGTTCCGCGCCCTTCTGTCCCCGTCTGAAAACTGCCAGACATCCGCGGTGCCCCGTGCTCTGACAACTCCTCGACCGGGTTCTCGGCATTTGCGTCAGTGCCTGCTGCACGTCCTGTGTCTTGAGACTCTTGCTGATTCTCATCAACATCCCTGCGCAAGGCTTCCTCTTGGTCTGCGGCTTCTTCCCTTCCGCGCTCCTCTGTCCCCGACTGCAGGCTACTTGACTTCCGCTTTGCCTCATGCTCCGGCAATGCCTCATTTTGAGCTGCCTCCTCCGTTCCGCGCCCTTCTGTCCCCGTCTGAAAACTGCCAGACATCCGCTGTGCCCCGTGCTCTGACAACTCCTCGACCGGGTTCTCGGCATTTGCGTCAGTGCCTGCTGCACGTCCTGTGTCTTGAGACTCTTGCTGATTCTCATCAACATCCCTGCGCAAGGCTTCCTCTTGGTCTGCGGCTTCTTCCCTTCCGCGCTCCTCTGTCCCCGACTGCAGCCTACTTGACTTCCGCTTTGCCTCATGCTCCGGCAATGCCTCATTTTGAGCTGCCTCCTCCGTTCCGCGCCCTTCTGTCCCCGTCTGAAAACTGCCAGACATCCGCTGTGCCCCGTGCTCTGACAACTCCTCGACCGGGTTCTCGGCATTTGCGTCAGCGCCTGCTGCACGTCCTGTGTCTTGAGACTCTTGCTGATTCTCATCAACATCCCTGCGCAAGGCTTCCTCTTGGTCTGCGGCTTCTTGCCTTCCGCGCTCCTCTGTTCCCGACTGCAGGCTACTTGACTTCCGCTTTGCCTCATGCTCCGGCAATGCCTCATTTTGAGCTGCCTCCTCCGTTCCGCGCCCTTCTGTCCCCGTCTGAAAACTGCCAGACATCCGCTGTGCCCCGTGCTCTGACAACTCCTCGACCGGGTTCTCGGCATTTGCGTCAGTGCCTGCTGCACGTCCTGTGTCCTGAGAATGCGTCCCTGCTTTGGACGAACCATCACTGTCGAAATCTGCTGGTCTGCTCATGAACCGGAACCGTGGGAATAGCCCGTCATCCGGCCATCTTGCAGTGTCAAGATCTGACGGCTCACAGACAATGCATCAACGCCCCGCGCATTACTTGCACGCCTTGAGTGCATCGTTTGAAGCCATCGTGCACTCGCAAAGACATGGATTCGGAGAATGGATGCAACCCGCACACAGCGTACCATTTACGAATATACTACCGAGTGCCTGGCAAGTTCCCGCTGCATGAAAACTTCTGCAAGAACGACTACAGAGCAGGGAAGAATTCTTTGAATTCGATGCACCGTGATGAGACCGCATATAAGAAGATGCCGGACGTCTGCTGACTGACATTACCTGGGCCGAGAGTGCGCATGGGAACCCGACTTCAATTTTCGCTTCGCGATGCCACCATGCCAAATGTTGAAGAGATTGCTCCGCGGTCGCTTCATTTGCTCGCTAACCTGGCAGAGCTTTGCTGCATCTTGAAGACTCGGCGCAGGTCCATCTGTTTAAGCAAGCAGCTCTTGGAAACTTCAAAGGTGATGACCGCGAGCAGACATCCCAGCGCATAGACGGCATCGACGCCTGCCTTTACCTCGGGGCTCCAGACTAGACTGAGGAGTCCCTCAGGGCAAGGCGACCAGTCGTTGACAAGCCATGAGAACACAGAAGACGGGACTGATGTGGCTACTTGCTGGCAAGAGTGGCCGTCAGCGACCTGAGTCTCGAGGTGTTGCATTTTGTGCAAAAGCGTGGCAGCATGTCGTGGCGACTGCCATGTCATGTCAGCAGATGCATCTGGGTCACAGAGATGTCTGACCATGTCCTTCGTGGACAGGACCACTGCTCTTGCTTTCACAACGCGGATGGATATGCTTATGATGTTGGCTTGGAGGGAATGCACAGGACAGCGATATCCGAAGTTGTCAAAGAAGCGCCTGCATTCCTTCCTTGCTTCCTTCCTTCCTCCTTCCCTGCAAAGAAAATATAGCAGGAATAGAGGTTTCCTAAGGCAACTTTGGAAGACGGCACGTCAGGGCAATTTTTGCTTTCTCCAGGAAAAAGCAAAGAAAACGATCGAAACCAACAAAATAAAAAGAAGACCAAAAAAAATAGGCTCTCCATTTGGACTGCGCATGGAGCATGCACGTTCCGAGTTATTTCGCCTCAACAAACGGCAAGACACTATCCGACAGAACAACAGACAGAACAACATGGCGAGGCACACGATGGCTGCACGCAGTCTGAACCCCGTAAGACCGATCCCGCGAACGATAACTATGCGTAACTATGCCAGCAAGTGTAGACACCTGCAAGAGGGGGACACCTGGCGTTCGACGGAGTTTGCACATGTCTCATGTCCCTTGTCTCTCCTCAGCCGGCAGACAGAAACACCAAGTACAGAGTCAAGACACCCAGAGCAGCTATGGCCACCAGGCGCCCCGAAGGCAGCAGGCCCAGTTCCACGCGTCCCGAGCCCGAAGTCGACACGAGCAAATCCTCGCCCCGAAATCGGCTCTGCTGCGAAAGCTTCGTGAAGGTTCTGAGGCCGCTGCTGGCTTTGCTCCCTTGCGCTGCAGCAACAGGCGACGCCGAGACTCGCTCCCTGCGCGCGATGATCTGCTATGAGGCGCTTGCCGTCAGCTCTCTCTTTCTTTCGTCAGGGTTATGGCCCTATGGCTAGCAGGGGCTTTGCTCACTTGCACCCGCGCAGCGGTTTGGAGTCTGGCTGTGAAACTTCCTCCGGACTGTCAACTGAGGCTCTGCTCTGCGCTTGTGACCCCCATACTCCCTGTGGACACTATGCCAACATAACCCCCCTCGTCGACGCTCCGGTCTGGACTTGCAACTCTTAGCAAGGCAACTGCTCTACGGTGCAAGTGTGCTAGTGGGCTCTGTCCCCCCAGCAAAAAGGCAGAAGGCACTCACGCCCAGGTCCCGGCCACCACTTCACAACACATCAAGAGACTGCGGTTCTGCATCACATAACAGCTTAGGCTTGGCCCGGTCCCCCGCTTCTACATGGCCCGTTCTTCAGACAACAGCACTCAGCAACACACCGCTACAGGTTCTGCTTTGCTCACTCGCTCTCTCTCTTTCTTTCTCCAGGCTTGAGGGCATGCCCCCGCTGGGGCAGCCTGTGCTGTTGGCTGTGTGCACGGTTTTACGTGCAACAAAGGTTCGAGCTCCCCACGGGCTGAGCTGAAGTAACAAGACCCGTTTTAGTGCAGACGACACAGTACACACAAGTTGTACACGGCTCACGCCCCGCTGCTCTGCTTGAGTCGCAGATATTCCTCTCTCTCTCTCTCTCTCTCTCTCTCTCTCTCTCTCTCCCTCTCTCTCTCTCTGTGCCTCCGAGCGGTGCAGGCTCCAAGGTTCCAAGGTACTCTCCTGCATCTGCCCCATGGCTGCGCCACAGTTCAGCTGCACACAGCTTCAAGCATCATCCTTCTCGAACTCGACCCTTCCAAAGCGCCAGGTCCGAGGTGATCGTCAGAAGGATGCGACCTTGACGCTCACTCATGCCGCATGATCCGCTGGCAAGCATATGCACCGAGACGTTCTGCCTCCTTCAGCTCCTTTGCATCCAGGCTCCTGCAAAGGTCACTCACACACTTGCGAAACTGCAGCACAGCCTGTACAGGGCACCAAAATTCAGAGACGCTCTCAGCTCTGCGAGAACCGAGGAAGCAAAAGAGCTTCTCTTAACTTCTCCTGCTCTCGCAGCTCCAATGTGCGAGTCGATCCTGGACACAGACCCAGTGAACATTCGTGTGAGGATGGATGCTTACCCTTCTTACATTGCTTACCGCGTCTGCGACATCCTCAGGTCTTCTAGAGAGGTGCGAGACCATTGTTTCCGAAGTCGAAGGATCGGAACCATGGTACAAGCAAGGCCTTCGAGATGCAGATTCGCGGTCAGTAGACGAGTCGGCGGCCCCCTGCCAGGTTCTGGGAAGAAGCGGCTCGGGTTTTTGAGGCCATCAAGATCCGGCCTCAGCGCAAGAGAGGCCCCCAGACCGAGCACGTCGCAACCCAGTTCTGTGATCGGCAGCGCGACAGACAAGCGGGCTCCTGTCGGGAAAGTGCCGGAGGGCTGCCGAGTGGAAGTCCGAGTGCAGGCTACAGACGGCTGGAGAGCAGGGCCTCTCTATGCTACGCCTTCAACGTGGAAGATTTCCAGAACCCGCGCCAAGCAGTCTCCGATTTTCCGCAGATGTTGAGGGCAGGGGAAAGGCCTAGGAGTGTGAGGGAAATCTTCACAAGCTCCTGCACGAACTAGCTTTCCTGACATCCGAAAGGCGAAGCCATGTCCGACATGTCCGTCCTTGTGCCGCTTTCATGTAAGGCGGACAGATCCCAGGCAAGTTCGGAGGCAAACCTCGCAGAGAGATCCGCCTCACTACAAATCCGCTGTGGTCCCCCACTCTGGCAAAACGCAAGACCTGTACATCTTGTTTGACTGACGATTTGATGCTGCCCTTGTTTTGCTCAGGCTGGCGGCGAACCTTGAAGAGAGGTCTCGGGACAGTCTTCTGCCGAAAGCCGATCCTCTGTGCTCAACAACTTGTCAATGGCAATGAGTGGCTGCTGTTGAAGGGACCTCACACTCAGAAGACGATCTGCAAAAATGCAACACACGAAATACGATCAAAGTGCCAGTAAGTGCGCAATGTCAAGACACTCGATCTTCTGGCACTTGCTGTCATCTGGCTCCGGTTCCTCAGCGACCGCAAAAACCGTGGATGCCCGCATCAGATGTGCTGCTATTTGGATTGATTGCTTCAGTGGTCTTGGCAAGATCAGTTTTGAAGTTGAAATCCTCTGACCACTAGAATCCTCTGATCACTAGCCTGGCTTTTCGGCTCCGGTGGCAGCCTCAGCCATCTGCACATTGGGCTCCTGCTACCACGCATACCGATGTGTTCGTGGTCCTGACGCTCAGTGGAACCTCGCTTGGTTTGTTGTTCATGTAGGCGGTTCGCATTCCGACCTGCTTCCAAAGAGGCAGCTGCATCTTTGTCGATGTACATTCAAACGGTCATGAGATGGGCAGCGCTTGGCAGTGCTAGCGCAATCACGATGTGTCTCGCATGCGCCTTAGATCCTGTGACTTCAAGCTCTTGACAGACATGTCCTTCTCCAAGTTGTTCGGTTGATGGAAAATTCTGACATTGACATATCTCCCGAAAAGAAGAATAATTATTGTTTTGCTGGCCATACTCGCGCTCACACCTCTTTATTTCGTGGGATCCGGCGGCTGCTGCCGGTGCCGCTCCACTGCGCAAAAGCCCTGTGCAGCTCACGGAGAATGATAAACCTGGAGAAGTTGGGAATTGCATTTGCCTGCATCGTGCTTCGACGGGCATTTCCGGATGCGGCTGGAATGGAGCATCAAGGCAGAGGCGGGCAAGGGCGGGCCATCAGGGCTTGGGACCTAGAACTTTTCGGTGGGATCACTGCTTTCCTGAAGACGAGACCGCAAATGTGACCTGAACGTCTCTTGGGCTCACACGGGATCTGCCACATCCACCACCCTCCACAGAGCCACGGCGATGACGGCAACGAGAAAGAAGAGCATCTGCAGCACACGTCTGTCTGACCAGGCTGTAGAAAGTAGCGTCGTCAAGAACGAGTTCTAGCCACGGCACCATCAGGGCACGCATCGCCGCTAAGGTGAGGAAGCCATCGAAGCGGAAAGCTGTCCAGACATCCGCCTTTCCGGGTTTCCGAAGCTGCTTCGCTTACTACACTACCCCCTGCCCCCTGAACATCTGTGGCCAGTCATGCTGTACCATGCAGCACGAAACATCAAGATAGCTTCAGAACCGTGCAACCTTCATAGGCTGGCCTGACCGGAATCTCGGGGTATCACCGAATCACGAAGTGTCTCAGCAATGACCTCCCGACAGAGCACCTGGAAGCGGTTTTGTAGAACTCTTTCGACATCTTGGGATTGCAAAACAAAGTCGTGAACAGGATTTGAGAGGAGGGCTGGCAAAGCTGGCATCCGCTGGATGCCTCTCACGACAGAGATATCGCAGCGGAGTGCAACGATCAAGCTCTGGCAGGTTGCGGTTGAAGGCAAGCAATGGCCGCGTCACTGAAGCTTGAATGTTGATCTCGCAGACTGTCGCTGCGTCAAGTAGAGCGACCAACTAGTGTTGTAGCTCTGCAGCAGTTCAGGACCGAAGCTGCTACAGCCCCGAAAGGACCGCCAGTCCCCACAAGCGTGAGGGAGCAAGTCGCACAAATTCTTGTTCCTAACTTCTCGAATCGCAAGTATTGCTTGTGAACGCAGTGCACAGTTCTGAAATGTTCTGAAGAGTTGTCCCAGGATTTCCTGCGACATTTTTAACCTGCAACGACCTGACTATAAATTTCTGCACCTGGGAGCCTTTTCGGAGACACTGGCTCTTACCTTATATTGTATCATGCCCTGTGGAAATCATTCGTTGTGATCCAAATGTCTGAACTCTTGCAATCTTGAGAACTGTTTGGAATCTGAACATCCATGAATTTGTATTCCAAACACTACCGTCAGCTAATTCGGAAAGCCCGGGGTCGTGAGACGCGACCATCCACAAGTATTGCGGAACCAATCCTGCGCGTTTTGGAAGCAAACCCTCAACCCAGCCCCCATGCAGACCCCATGCCCATACATCCCCACAACGTCAAATCCGCGCCAACCCCATCTATGCCTCCAATCCTAAGTGACTAAAAAAAGCTCACCCATAAGCCGCGCATAAAGCCGGAATCTTGGAGGAAACCCAGACAAACCCGACACTAAGTCCCAAATCTCATGGCAATCATCCTACCCTCAAGCCCAAACCCCTTCACAAACCACCCACCAACTCAAGCCAAGCCAACCAAACCTTTTCAAGATAGCAACTCCTACAACGGAACCTAACAAAAAACCTCCAAAACAGCAAGCTGCACAACTGGGTTTCTTGTATCCCCAATCACTGCGCATACTGAGTTAAAGTCTACCCAATTACTTTCCTGATCCTTTCAGCTCCTTTTTTTTGAATGAAAGAGTATACCCCCCTTGAACAACAGATCCCGCTCCCGCCATAGGGAACATAAAGCAGGTTTACTTACCAGGAACCTACCTCGAACGCAAACCCTAAAACCCTAACCCCAACAAACATTGCACCTCAACCATAAGTCCCAATTACTCCCAAAAACCCTTCAACATATCAAAAAAATCCTGTCAATGTAGAACTGATTGCTAAGACCGATCCGGAAAAGGGTGCCTATCACGCCTCCTAAACCCTGCAACCCTATAACTCTATAACAATATGAGGCTTTTTCATGCCGAGCGCTCCAAAGCCGTACCGTAAGCCCAAAAGTGCGCACATTGACGTACAGGGCTTGCAAACCAAGCTAGACTGCCCCATATTAAATAGAAAAGGTCAAAGGGACGTTGATATTGTGGGTGCAGGTTCTGGGATCTAGACGGGTCTGATGGAGTGTGGGTTAGGAGATCTTCAGGGCTGAGTGATGTTCGGTTGTGGAGGTCGAAACATAGAGCGGCATATGCATTGGAAAAACCACTCATAAATATCATGTTTGCATCGACATAGTTGCATGCATATCTATACCAACATCTACATCTATATCTGCATCATGTTTTTCCTAGCTGAAGACGGAAAGTCTAAGCACAGATGCCGAGCCAATGATGTGAAATCAGACCTAAAACCGCGTAACTTAGCAGCAAGATAGTCTACACTAGAAACAATTAAACTGCCTGTGATGGCAATATCATGGAGCGTGTATTGTGTGCCTGGAAGTCTTAAATATAACTTAAATATGTACGAGAACTTGATAGGTGCAGCTGGGTAGCTTGCTTGGAGGTCGCAGTGCTGCTCTGCACATTCGGTGAAGAACATTCGGTGAAGAACATTCTGTGATGTATCGATGGGCGAAGAAAATTCGGTGAAAAACATCCACGGTAGCAGCAACTATGTATAGATGTGCAGACGGCTGTTGCATGAGAGCATGGCTGTGGAAGTTCGCCTGACTGCCGTCTTGCCATTGCGGCTTACCTACAGGGCACCCTTCAAGGAAAAAGTGAGTTACCTGAGCTACCGCTCTTCCGCTGCGCCGCCAGTGGGATTTTGATGGTAAGCGGAGCCGGTTCATTCCGGTGACGCTGCTAAGCTGCCCCTGGCAGCTCAGTGCCTGAGCCCTTGCGCTTTCGAGCTCTACCTGGACCTGCAGCGGCGCAACCAGGGTTTTCAATTCGTTGCTGCCCGCCTTTGTGCCGGCGGCCCTTCCACTTCACCTACGTGATGTTTGGGAACTTGAAGTTGGAAGTTGATAGGTTTGGAGTGCCCCAGTACCACGGGGACCCCGACCTATTCGAAGAGTACTGTGAGCGAGCTTGGGGCCTGTGGTACGGACGCCAAGGAGCTGAGACCCAAGCCGCCACACCGGTGCACCTGAGATCCGGTCTCCAAGGTTCCGCGTACGAGTCGGTCCGCCTGCTGAAGCACGACAAGATCATCACCAAGGACGAGAACGGCAAGGCGACCGAGGTCGGGATTAAACTTTTCCTGGCCACGCTGAAGGAGAGTATCGCAGCCGAGGCCCCAGTGAAGGTGAAAGAGTTGTTCTTCCAGGCGTTCTACAGCCCGGCGGTTTGGAGAAGGAGCACCGAGACCATGCAGCAGTATATCGTGCGTCGGGAGCAGGATTTTAAGAGACTGGAAGATGTGCTCCCCGGGTCTGCCATACCCGAGCACATCCGTGCCATGATGCTTTTGGCCTTTGGGGGCCTGGACCACCGCGAGCCACTTGGAGTTTTGAGCATCGTGAACAATGAGTACGACTTCAAGAAGGTGGCCCACGCTTTGAGGATCCAGTTCCCGAGTTGCAGCGGCAAGCCTGTGTTCAGGAAAGACTACCTGGAAGGCCCCGGCAGCCGAAAGGTGGAAAGGGAAACGGCAAGAACTACGTCCGTGCCGTCTCCGAGGGTGACTTTCCGGACACCGAGGACCCTGAAGCCGAGATCTACTACGAGGACGACGGGGGCGAGGCAGGCGAGGACGGAAGCTACGCCGACGACTCCACCGACCTCATCAGTGAGGGCCTGGACGCCCTGGTCCAGGAGTGCGATCTTGACGACCAGGAGCTTGCCGACGCCTTTGCCACGATCATGCAGCGCAAGAAAAAGCCCTCACCGAGTACGGCAACCTCTGGGAAGGGACAGCCAGTCCACAGGCGAGATGAGCTTTGACAAGGCCCAAGGAAAGCCGCAAGAATGCAATTCGTTTCTTGAAGCAGGTCACTCCCTGCACCGCCTGTGGGCAACGAGGGCACTGGAATGGCGACGACCAGTGTCCCAAGAAGAGGGACAAGAGCACGAGCCCACAAAGGGCAAGGGACCGCACCACAAGAAGGGGGCAAAGACGAGCTACTTTGTCCTCCCCGACACCGTCCCGGACGCAATGGTTGTCGAGGAGAACTACGTTGCCTTGGGGAACCGACCCCGGGGCCTGCTGTCGAGCTGGCTGTGTCGAGGACGCCGCTGAGAAAGGAGGCCCCCGATGTTCCCGGACCACCTCGAGGCACCTTTTCCAATGCCCAGGAGACCGCTCAAGACACGGTGGCGAGGTGATGATGGTGAACAAGATCGGCGACGAGGTCTGCGAGCACTGCGTCTACAACGGCGGCTCGGAGAGGAAGCTGCATCGGGCCGCCAACGGCCACAGCCGCTCGGTCTCTTGCAAGGAGCCCGACTGTGACAAGGTCATCTTCACAGCAAAGAGAAAGGAGCCGGCCGAGCTGTGGCGCTTCCTCGTGCTTGTGGCCCTGACCACAAAGAGCCCTTTCGCCAGCGCCGACTGGAAGACCCGGATGCTGCCACAAGTGGAGGCCAACCTCATAATAGCTACTGGCTGCGCTGTGGTCCAGCCGCGGTGCTGGTGACGGGAGAGCAGCTACGATTCGCCAGCGAAGACGAGCTGCTGGCAGCAGACATGGTGCCACAAGAGGCACTCGAGCCTCCCTATGCCAAAGGGGCCCGGAACTCTATGCCTACGCCGACTCAAGAAGAACCTGAAGTACCACAACCACGGCGAGCCCGGGGCACATCAATTTTGCCTCCAGCCGCCTATGTCCCGGGCACCAACGTACGTGTCACTACTGACCTGTTGCCTCCGGTTCCCGAACACACTGGAGATGGCGGTCTACTGGACGAAGTCGGACCACAAGCCCCTCGAGAACCACCGGAGCAAAACCAAAGGACGGGCGAGGACACACATGCAGGGGCACAGCACGTAGTTCAAGAACCACAAGCCCGTCAAGAACCAGAGCAAAACCAGAGGACGGGCGAGGACACACACACTGGTCGTTTTATGGAGTCTAGACGCCCATCTTCCGTTGGTCCTGAACCACCTCTCCTGAGCGTCTGGACCCGCAGCGTGCCTCTAGAGGTTCAGCTTCTTCCGTGCCAGGCCCTTATGTTGCAGAGGTCGTGGAAGAACCATGGGACTGCCCCAGAATCACAAGCACCCTCCGCGAGAAGAGACTCAAGCGAATCATCGGTTACGAGGAAGAGGCCGAGAGCAGCTACGATGAGAACTCGGAGGAGGACGTGTACCTGAGCCACCCGTCCGAGGTGTTCCTGACCGGGAAGGCCGTTAAGTCGGAAGTTCGGCTGAAGGACTTAGATCCCAAGGACCGTGAGAGATTCACGGGAGAAGGAGGGAGCATGGCAAAGGAGTGGAACTCGTGGAACAAGTTCGCGGCAGTGGACAAGCTCGAGCCCCACGAGATTCGCGACCTCCCCTCGGATGTCAAGATCATTGGCACGAGGTGGGTCCATACAGACAAGAACGCCAAGCCCCGCCTCCTCGCAGAGTACCTCTCAAAACGCACGGAAAAAGGCAAAGCCCAGATCAAGAAGGAGTTCCCCTTTGAGGCCAAGTCAAGACTTGTGGTGCAGGGATGCCAGGAGGATGCCACAGGGATCAGGTCAGACAGCCCGACTGCCTCCCTTCTGGCCTTCAACCTCGTGTGAATTGTGGCGATCTTAAAGAGATGGTTCCTCATTGCCTGCGACCCTTCTACTGCCTACCTTTAGTCGCAGGGGATAAGCAGATTGCTCATCCTGAGAGCACCCAGGCCACCGCCACCGGGAGTTCAGCCCGGCGACCTCTTCAGAGCACGCGGCTCGATATACGGCACAAAGGATGCTGGAAGGTCATGGTGGAAGAAGCTCTTCAAGACCCTCCGGGAACACAGGTGGGTGATGTCAAAGATCGAGGCTGCATTGTTCTTCCTTGTGAAGGGCACCGAGCTCATCGGCATCATGGTGTCCCACGTCGACGACCTGTTCGCCGCCGGGGAGGGCACCGAGTTCGACGAGACCATCACCGAACTCGCGGCAAAGCTCTACTTGAAGGTGAAAAGGGGTGAGTTCCGCTTCTGCGGGAAGAACATCGTCCAAAAGGAGAACGGCATCATTGAGATAGACCTATACGATGCCATAGAAAGCATCAACCTCGACCCCTCCCGGAGGAAGCAGCCAAACGCCGTCGTGACCGAAGAGGAGAAGAGCTCCTTCAGAGCTCTTATTGGTCAGATGGGTTGGGTAACACGCCAGTCACGGCCCGACATCATGGTGAATGTCAGCCTGGCTTCTCAAAGCATGGGCCGGCCAACCATAAAGGACGTCGTCGACTTGAACCGCGCCGTGAAGATGCTGAAGTAGACGTCCGACGCCAAATGGCGCTTCGTGCCCAGCGACCTGACCTTGGAGACCTGCCGCGTCTTTGTGTTCGCCGACAGCAGCTTTGCAAACTGCCAGGACATGAAGTCGCAGTGCGGGTACGTGGTTGGTTTGACAAGCGACGCCCTCAAGGAGGGCACCGATGCTCCAGTGTACATTGCTGAGACCTACAGTGGGAGCGTAAAACGTGTTTGCAGGAGCACCTTGGCCCCCGAGTCCAATGGATTCCTTGCCGGTGTGGAGGCCGCCGCGTGTGTGCACATGATCCTTCTTGAGATCCGGCACCCCACCGAGCGCATCCTGGACCTCAACCGCGAGTTCTACAAGAAGCAGATCCTGTGCTTACGGATGCCAAGAGCTTGGAGAGCAGCATCAACAAAGATGCTGGGACCTCTCAGGACAAGAGAGTGAAGATCCTCTTGGCCCAGTTGAAGGAGCTCCTGGGGACGAACACATATGACGACGACAGTGCCGTGTACGCCATTTGGGTGGATACGAGCCAAATGTTGGCGGATGTGCTCACAAAGTGCGGCTGTGAGCCCGAACCCCTCTTGGACGCCGTCTACAGTGGAATTGCTCCGAGCGCTGAGGCCCAAGAGAAGAAGATGCAGATCCGAGCTGGACGCCACGCTCGGAAGCACGCCCGTAGGGAAGCCGAGGACGGGTGAAAAACATCCACGGTAGCAGCAACTATGTATAGATGTGCAGACGGCCGTTGCATGAGAGCATGGCTGTGGAAGTTCGCCTGACTGCGGTCTTGCCATTGCGGCTTACCTTCAGGGAAAAAGTGAGCTACCGCTCTTCCGCTGCGCCGCCAGTGGGATTTTGATTCGGTGATGTATCTTTTGTTTTAAACTTGGCGAGGATGTGTTCCAGTGCTGGTGCTACTAACTGCTTTGATTTTGTTGTCCTGTGGCCGTGCAGCAAACGTTCCGTGTCTCGTCTGTGCGTGTTGCATGACGCACTGTCGATGCGTATCATCATAGCTATCTTCCTAGCAGAGCGAATGCATCTTTAAGTATCTCCAGAAGCCATGGTGCTCTTGATTTACCTGGACGTCTATTTTCAAATCCAGGTCTAATTGAATATGAACCTAATATGGCCGTATGTATACCTATTCCTACATCATGCTTTAGCTGCTGTGACCATAAACGCTCAGCCCTCTGTATTCCCTACCTGGATCAACTGAGAAATTATGATCTAGCTCGCCAAATTGCCAAACGTCCAACCACTATATTTCCAGGTGTCCATCTTTATCATGTCCGGTATTCCTCCTCAAGTTTGGCAACGGAAAATCTACATTTTGGAAAATCTTTCATCAGCAGGCAAAGAGTCTTGTTGGGTGTTGATCGCGTTTTCTGAGGCTCATAGTCTGTTAAAGTCGGGTTGTAAATAAGTATTTCCATGAAAGAATGTCATTACGATTGATCGAGAGGGTTTCCAACTTTAGTCATCGATTTTGTCTATGGCCTATGGCTACCGTAAGCAGATAATTACAACGTGCCAACAAATAGCCTACTCAGTTCTTAACATGAAACGAGCTGCATTATGCGCAGTTATTTACCCTGAAGCCAAGCAATGTCTGTTGTACATCGTGGTCTTGTGGCCATGGTTCGCTTCAAGCCAAGTTGGGGGATCAACTGGTTCAACACAATCGTACGTGGGCGGTCTTTGATCCTGTTACGTTTTTCCCGGCGGCGGTACAAAGCAAATGACGCAAATAGGCGAGTGAAGTGAATTTGTTCGATTTTCAGCACCTGTCATGGAACAGGATCACAACTGCTCTGCTGAACGACGAAACTGATCCCTACGGCCCTTTCAGCTTCATCTATACACATCTGCCTCTATGTCATGTCATATGAGCCAGAAACAATGTTATTTGCATTGATTTGTATTGCCTGGTCGGTTCTGGGCAGTATTTTCAATTTCGAGACACCAGTAATGGGCAGGTGCTCTTTTTTCCAGTGGTTTAAATGACTTTCATTCTCAAGAATGCAATAACTGAACCAGTGTGCTTTTTTAGCAATGTGTCATTGGTCCGAAAAGGACCGGAAGGAATGAAGCAACGGAAACATGCAACGTGTAAGAAACTGCAGAGGTACAGCCTCACCTACGGTTCAAGCAAGTAAGATAATCAAACTCAACAAGTTCTGCTTTGTAGACAATTAACAGCAAAGCTATCTAGGCTAGTCCTTCTGGGTTGAAGCATTTACGGCTGAGGGTGCGTCTCCCTCTGCCATGGAACTTGGCAGGGCAGGAGCAAAGGAACGGAACAGCGCATCGGATGAAGGGACTAGGGAAACAGGCGCGACGAAAAGCTGCACACAGCTTGTCTCTCGCCTTTGGTCCATCAATAAAGTCGTACAAGCGCTTGAACAGAATTGAGATTTGAGGGCGGACTGTGCCATACAAGTATGTCCCGGGAGGGTGGACATGTTTCGTTCGATACACTCGACAGCGATTGGATAAAGCATGCAGCCACGCATTCTTTTCCTCCCTGTCGTTGGCGACTCCAGAGTCTGAGATCCGCAGTGTCGTGCTTAGGTGGGTCGGACATAGGCGCCTGCCTGCACCCACCGCACCCGCACGCACACCAGGAAAACGACCCTCAAAGAAGAGAGGGAAATCATGATAGGGTGGAGAGGGTGGGGATTTCGAATCCTCCAGGACTTGGTCCCGAGCTGCGGGGACACAAGTCGAGTTAACTCACATCATGTCCCTTAGCACCTTCGGTGCATCATGACATGTTTCGTTCGATACACTCGACAGCGATTGGATAAAGCATGCAGCCACGCATTCTTTTCCTCCCTGTCGTTGGCGACTCCAGAGTCTGAGATCCGCAGTGTCGTGCTTAGGTGGGTCGGACATAGGCGCCTGCCTGCACCCATCCGACGGCGCCTACACCCCACCAAACGGTGGATCCCAGCGCCAATCCAAATTCCGCACCAGCGCCGGGAACTGAGAGGTGTTGTGCTGGTCAAGCTGCAGCAGAATGGCTTCCAGGGCCCGGCCATCGCTGACCAGCCTCCGCCACGACGGCTGCACAACAGTGTAGTCCGCTCTGGATATGGGATCTGCAATGTTCAGAGCCGATGGAACCCATCGGAACTCGGGCACCCAGCGCGCCTGAGTGGCCAAAGTCCAAAAGCCAGTCAAGACCGCATTGATCTGTTCGTCTCGACCGAAACCTTTCTGCAGAGCCACCATGCCTGGCTGATTGTCTACGTAAGCAATCCAAAAGGCAGGAAGCGCATCCACGTGTGCGCAAAAGGCGATGATCTGGGCGTAAATCTCGAGAAAAGAAATAAAAGCACGGCGGCTGCAAAACCGTTGCAACAGGCCGCTGGAGACAGAGCCGTGGCCGTAGGTCACGAAGCTACCTATCCTGACCACGAACCCCTACCCGTTGCGGCAACTGCAGCAGCGGCTGAAGGAAACATTCGTGGGGATGTCAGGATCGCCAGCCTTCCACGTGCGTTCGCCCAACTCGAAGAACGCGTCAGTGTACACAACGGCCTCCACACGAGGCTGCACAAAAGGGACGAACCTATAGGTGTAAGCTCGCGGAGGAGCTGCAGGGTCGCTCTCAAAGCTCCTCTGAGACCAACGTTCAGCTCAACGGAACCTGTGCGCGTAGAGTTCGCCCGTGCATGAATCGGTCTGAGGGCAGCGCTGCCGGCTCGACCGAAAGCGGTACTCTGGATGAAACCAAGCTTACCAACAAGCTTGGCTGCCACCACCGGCTCCAGGACATCATCGCGCAAAACCTGCTGGATCTGTGCCGAAAGCTTCTCGATGCGTTTGGGATCAGCTCGCACGCAAATCCCTTCAGCGGTGATCTCCAGTATCACCCCGAGCAACTTCTGAACGGTATCGGGAGGTTGAGCTTTAGACTTCTTAAGGCGATAACCCAAAATGTCGCAAAACTCGGAAAAGGCACTAAATGCAGAGGCTGCGTCACTGGAGTCCTGTATTCCTCCCAGGTCATCCACGTAATGCAAAACACATATGTGCAGAAGTGTACGCACCAACCGGCACATGGCGTCAGTCAGCCTCCCGAAATGCCAAACGGAGGCCGAGCTACCAAAAGGCAGCACTCGGTGCCGCCATAAGGTAGGTCCTGACAATGTGTTCAACAACATGTATGCCTCAGCGGGGTCACGAATTGGGTAAGCCCTATAGGCGTCAGCCAGGTCGTGGCACCAGATCTCAGGCTGCAAGCCCAGCTTCTTCGCCAATCTAAGCACCTGAATGTACACCTCGATGTCGTCATGTTCGGGACGGTCGTGAGCTTCAATGGTGCTGTTGTGGTGCGACCTGCGATAGTCCTCACAACGACGGACCTTCCGAGATCCGTCCGCACCTGTCTGGCACACACTAAAAGCGCGAGCAGCGAAAACTGGCCCTGCAGGAAGAGGCTGCTTGGACAAACCCACAGAAGCAGCATCGACCGTCTTGCGCGGCCAATCTGGAGGGCCCTCAAACGGACCTTCAATGGGTGCGGCACTGATAGACACCTCAGCCAGCAAAGCGCGCCACTCGGGGTCCACACGCGGCTTCTTCAGGCAGTGCTCAATGTACTCGCGGTTCACTTTGGCGAATGCCGGCAGACTGATCGGAAACCTGTATGTGTCGTCAGTGCGAGGCCGCCACCCTGGAGAAGGAGGCATCTTCCCGAGCAGGGGAAGCCCCACAGCCAGAGACTCAGCAATCTCAGAGGCGTGCTCATAGCCACAGTCCTGGAGCAACCGAACAAAGGCCAGCACCTGAAACCGCGGCTTGCCTGGAGGGTGAAGGGCTGACCTGACGTGTGCCGGCACGGCGTTGTACCAAGCATCTGTCTCTGCACGGAGTTCGGCCACTAAGTCCCGGAGCCCGGCCAACACGGCCTCGCGGTGATCTCGAAGATGTGGGCCCACCTGAGCAGCGCGCTGCAATGTCATTTCAATGGCAGGCTCCACAGAAGGGGGAAGAAGGGCAGCAGGTACAACATGAGCACTGCCGACCCAATGCTCCCACATGTCCTTAGGAGGGTGCATCTCTACTCCCACTGGCGCTCGCATGCGCGTCATGGGCAAAGGCTGCTCACGCGCTGCCCGGAGAATGCAATGAAAATCTTTTGTCCGGCTGGCGCTGATCAGCTCTCCTTCGGGAGCTACCTGTGCTATCGGGTGAGCGCCGAACTGAAGGACGATCTTCAAAAGGAAGGAAGCGACACCGCGGTGCCAGCTGTTGCTCAACAAGCGACGCTGGTCTCGGAGAGTAGGAGCTGCCGAGGTGTAATCGGGAGGCAGCAAGTGTGCCTGCTCCTTGAGGTGGATGGGCACCGTCTCCAGAGCACCATCGGGCCCCTTGACCATGGCAAACTCCTGAAAATGCCATGGAGCAAAAGCCCTGTGGGCTTCGATCCATCGTTGGCGAGTGCCACTGTCGATGCGTGACCTGGCTGATTTCGGGGCCGGACGGCCTTCATCTGTAGGGGCTGGCGTTGTAAAGCAAGGCCAGGCTTTCACGCCTGAAGCCAGCTCCTTGCTGAGCGTGTAGCCCCGGAGCTCGAAAGTAGAAGCAGAGAGCTTGGGCCCAGGGAGGTGCAACTGGTACATTCGGCCCTGGCGGCCCCAACGGTAGTCGGTGCACTTCGCCCAGTCCACGCGCATCCACCAAAGCCTTGCCTCTAAGATCAGGTTAGGCTATTTTGGGACATATATCCTATTTGGCAAAAATAACCTATATAGGTTATTTATATAAATAAACTATAGGTTATTCTTCCGGTTATTCTATAGGTTATTTTATAGGTTATATCTGAAATAGCCTATTTCCTACTGTAGAATATAGCTTAGAAATTGCTTACTGTGTTTGTCAAACTAGCATCCAGTTTGATAGATTTTTGCATAGAACATTGAAATTGACATATTTTTCTAAGTGGCAGACCTTTGCTTGTGGTTGAAGGAATGTTTTTAGGGAACTCAGAAACAACTGCAAGAGAGGCCTCGACCGCTTGTTTGCGAAAGAATACATGGAAGCTTTGGAGCAAATTCCAGCCGTCTTTGAACAATCCAAGATCCCACAGCAGGCAGGAAACGACAACAGCATCGATCTTTTTAAGCTCTTCCTGGGAAGATTTCTCCAGTGTCCTGTGTTGTGCAACCGGAACGATGGTTGGCAGCAAGAAGTGTTTGCGATGCGAATTATATAGACCGTACGGGTTCGGTGCTTCAGGATCCATCTCTTTTGCAGTGATTTTCTCAGAAAAGCACAGCGACATCGACTGTTCACCAGCTTCGACCGGGTTTGCTGTACACAGTCGTCGGGATCCCACCAATCATCGCACGAGTCATAGTCAGAGGCATCACTGGTTGTTTTGGGCTCTGGACTCTTCCAATCCTCCCAACAATCTTCGTTCTCGTAGATCCACCCATAGTACCACGGCATGGTGCAGGGACTCCGGATCGGCCCAGTTTTGCAACCCTAAACCCTACAAACCCTAAACCCCTAAACCCTAAACCTTATAAACCCTAAGTTTAGAGGGGTAGCATAGAGCAGGCTTGAGGTTTTGCTTTGCACTTCCACAGTCGAGATGTTGGAAAGAAAAACGCATGCAAAGGTTTCTAGGTAGCAGAAAAAGAAAAAAAGCAGCATTTTGCTGCTGAACTCTGCCATGGCTGCCATGGATACCCGTCTGAAGTGCGACCCCCTGATAGCTGTGGGGGACCTGCAGAGGTGCTTCAGGGAGCAAGTCCGACGGGCTGACCTTTGGCACACGGTGCAATGTCCCCGTGGGGCTCAATGGTCATGGAAGACAGCCATCAATGTCGAATGGCTTTACCAGAGCCGCTACTTGCTACAGGACCTGCTTGGGGTCGCTCCGAATGCCGTTCTCCCGAGTGTCAAACTCCGAGCTGCAGTTCGCCGATGCCTCGAGACCCCGGAGCTGAGGATGTCCAAACACGGCATGGACGTGGAAACTTACACGGATGGCATCGACCAGAGGGTCCGTGTCCTGATGTCGCAACTTCGGGACTTGAAGAAGGACGATAAGTATTTCCCGGCAATGAGGAAAGCCAGCTTGGAGGAAAAGGAAGGTCTGGACAAGTTGCTGACCTTCTTGCAGGACCCTGCAAGTGCGAAAACGGCTCAGAAAGCCGAGGCGAGCCAACCTTCGACTTCCTCAGCTTCTGCCTCCACGGCTTTGGTACTGTGGCAGCCGCCAAAGGACCAGGCAGCAGGCAGCTCGGTCTTCAGTAGAATCCTCGCGAAAAAGGGCAGCGAGGAATCTGAGTTTCGAGCAGACCCGCCTAAAGCTTCGCCGAGCAAAAGGCTTCGAGCTTCGCAGCCTTTTCGTGTGCGAGCTCTTTGTTCTCCTCGGAAGAACCAGGCTTCGCCTCGGAAGCAGGCTTCGCCTCGGGAGGCGGCCTTGTCCGACGTGCTGGACAGTGAGGCGGCGAAGGCCGTAGATGAAGCTTTGGTGTCTTCGCCTACGAAGAAGAGGGCCTTGAAGAAACCAGCTGCTGCTTTCAAGAAACCAGCTGCTGCTACAAAGAAAAAGACCAAAAAAGCGCCGAAAACGGAGGAGGCTGCCACCGAGGAGGGAGAGAAAAAGAAGTTTAAAACTACCTTCAAGCACAGAAAAACGAGCCAGGCCTACCACCGGGAAAAGTGCCTTCAAGAGCGACTGGGCTTGTCTCCGCAGTCAGCGAAAAAGAAAGCCAGAGAGAAGATGCGGGAAGTGGCCGCCCTCATCGATTCTGGCAAGCTCGTCGAGACTGACTGAAACCTCTGGGTGGCGAGGAAAAAAATAGAAGTCTTTTTGGCGGGCAGGATTAATTGTTCGGGTTTTCCCAAAAGCTCAGGGTTCTTAGTTTTTCTTCACACTTGTGGTTTGGCAATAGATGTTCTGATATAGCATGAAACACCAAAAAAGTAGCACAGCGACGTGTAATGGAGATAGTTTTTACTTGAAATCTAGCGAAGGCACACAAGAAGCACCTCTATAAGTCACATATAATACACCTGATTGGCAGGCTCGGTTGCTACATATAGTCCCTAGGATTTAGGAGGCAGCTTTAAAAAAGGCGCCGAATCCGATTATGCAGCAGGCCCCAGCGGTTCCAAAATGTAGGATCTCTATGTAGCACAAAATCTAAGTACCAGCTTTTTGTCGACGTCCCAATCCATGTCGGTAGCAAAAACTTAAGTAACAGCTCTATCTAGGTCAGAATCCATTTATGTAGCCATATAAATCTAAGTAGCAGCTTTATCTAGCCCACCAACCATCTAGGAAGCCAAAATCCAAGTAACAGCTTTATCTAGGTCGTAATCCATTTAGGTAGCAAAATTCTAAGTAGCAGCTTTTTCTAGGTCGCAATGCTTTTGCTAGGTCGCAATCCATCTAGGTAGCAAAAATCTAAGTAGCAGTTTTTTCTAGGTCGCAATGCTTGTGCTAGGTCGCAATCCATCTAGGTAGCATAAATCTAAGTAGCAGCTTTTTCTAGGTCGCAATGCTTTTGCTAGGTCGCAATCCATCTAGGTAGCAAAAATCTAAGTAACAGCTTTTATTCTAGGTCGCAATCCATCTCGAAATTTAACTTACATCTTTTAGGTCGCAATCCATTTAGGCAGCACAAAGGCGCTAGGAAGCAAGCCAGGTTTTCCCCTAACCTGAAGCCCTTCTGCAGCCCAGAGCCCGAAGAACTTTTCGGCCGTCGCTCGCTCCGATGGCTCGCAGGAGGAGAACCCAGAGAGGAGAGAGGCACAGCAGCCACGACAGAGACCTCACAAAACTGAAGCAGGGCAAACACAGCACTCGGTAGAAAGAGCACACTGCAGACACTAGCACACAGGGACCCCTGATTTAGGGTTTAAGGTTGAAGGTTCTAGGTTTCTTCTCACAGAAGCACCACACACACAGTAGTCTCCACTCAGCGGTTCTCCTTCCCCCGACAGGCCAAACACGTGGCCGCTGTGTAGGACCAGCAGACAGGCACACTTGCAGCCACTTTCCAACAGACGGACAAGCAGAGACACACACACACACAGACACACTGAGACACACACGGAAACACCGACAGAAACACAGACACAGACACACGGACAACTGCAGACACACACACACACACACACACACACTTACTTGCTTAGTTACACACACACACACACTAACTAACTAGGCCAAAGTTCTAAGTAGCATGCTTCTCTAGGTAGCATCTCACGAGAGCCATAGCCATGGCCAACCTGCCGCCAGACCGCACGGTCTGGCTCGGCGGCCTTCCCTCCTGGCTGTCGTCGGAGGAGCTGTACCACTGGTGCTGCAGCACTACGTGGCCGGTGTATGCGGAGGTGGCTCCGAGTGGCCACTCGCTGACATTTGGCTATGTCATCTACAGCTCGCAGGAGGAAGCCGAAGAAGCCGTGACAGCTTTGCCTGCAGGTGTGGCTGGCTACCGGGTCAGCAAACGACCCTGGCAGGGCAAAGGCCAGGGCAAAGCGGCAGCAGCACCGAAAGCTGCAGCTCCGAAAGCTGCAGCAGCACCAGCAGCAGCAGAGGAGGAGGCTGCTGCTGTTCCCAAAGCAGCAGCAAAGGCGAAAGCTGCAGCAGCACCAGCAGCAGCTGCAGAGGAGGCTGCTGCTCCGAAAGCAGCTGCAGAGGCCAAAGCTGCAGCAGCACCAGCAGCAGCACCTGCAGAGGAGGCGGCTGCTCCGAAAGCTGCAGCACCAGCAGCACCAGCAGCAGAGGAGGCTGCTGTTCCGAAAGCTGCAGCACCAGCAGCACCAGCAGAGGAGGCTGCTGTTCCAGCTGCACCAGCAGCAGCACCTCGGACTCCAACAAGTCCTGCTGAGGAGCCAGCAGCAGCAAGGCCAAGGGCAAGCCCGGCAGCAAGCCCAGCGGCAAGCCCAAGCCCAGCAGCAAGCCCAAAGGCAGCAGCAAAGGCAGCAGCAAGCCCAAAGGCAGCAGCAAGCCCAAAGGCAGCAGCAAGCCCAAAGGCAGCAGCAAGCCCAAAGGCAGCAGCAAGCCCAGCGGCCAGTCCAGCAGCAAGCCCAGCGGCCAGTGCAGCAGCAGAGCCAGCAGCAAGCTCAGCACCAGCAGCAGCAGCAGCAGGGGAGCATCCGTGGCAGGAGGTCTACGAGCAGAGGCCATGCCGGGATCCTCGCCTACGGAGCCCACGACCTCCACCTCGCCCTCGAGGCTCCGTGCAGCAGCAGCTGGCGAATGCCACTGCTGCTAGCAAGTCGCTGGCGGCCACTTGGCAAGAAATATAGTTCTAAGAGAGCCTCTCGGTAACAAGGCTCTATAGGTAGCAAAAAGACTGGATAGGTAACATGCTTCTCTACGTAGCGGAATCCACTAGGTAGCACATTCTAAGTCACAGGACTCTAGGTAGCAAAAACCCTAGGTAGCAAATTCTAAGTAACAGGACTCTAGGTAGCAAAAACCCTAGGTAGCAAATTCTAAGTAACAGGACTCTAGGTAGCAAAAACCCTAGGTAGCAAATTCTAAGTAACAGGACTCTAGGCAGCAAAGTCTCTAGGTAGCAAATTCTACCTAGCAAACCTCCCTCTCAACTGAGGTGAAAGGGATGCTGCCCTGGCAGAGGAGGCAGCAGGCCAGGGCTGGCTCTTCGAAGGGGGCTGGCTCTTCGAAGGACCCTCCAAGGGCACC